TTCTAAAGGCATTGGCTTCCAAGCTTGCATCATCTGAAGCCCGTGGGAATCGATTAGCATCTTGCAGAACTAATCCCATTATAGCTCAATTCCGTGAGATCTGCATTTCCTGAAGCACCCACAGAAAAGAATGATCCTCAACACATCTACTTAACTTTTACAACACCGCGCTCCTCAGAAGATGGCACAAGAGATTAGTGGCTCAGATACCAAGAGCAAAGTGTTGGTCAGTGCAGTGAGCACTGTTTGATCTCCACCACAGCTCTGTGTTTTGGGCAGCAGATTTTTCTCACAAGGTACACATGCATATTCCAACTCACAGTTCCACTCAGCAGAGCTACTTCCAGACTAATCAGAATTGTCTTTCATTGAAGTTTAGCTGCTTGTATCAAAGTAAGAAAACCAAAGTCTGTGGAGTTGCCAGCTACTGAGGATGCAGAACTCTGCATCCTTCAAGCACAGTTCCTGTTGAACAGTCCATAGAAAGGCAGATACATAAACGTTGTAGCACTTCACAAGACTTTTTAGACATTTCAAGTTTAGTTATTTTAAAATAACAGGTGCCACTAATAAGCTCTTTGAAATGCTTGACATTTTCCTTCTCCTAGCATCAGATCATAACCATGGGACAATTTAAAAAGAATTCTTGCCTGTCTATGCCTCGCTTGGCTCTACTCTGGCCCAAATCTGGTTACCCTTTTGTCCTAGCTGCATCTGACTTACACGATGCATTACACGTGCCTCCATGGTATTCCTCTCAGTGAACGTGTCACCTGCTCAGTAAGCTTGATTTCATAGCTGTTTAGAGTTTTTCATCTGTCTTCATCCCTATAGATTAGCTGCAGAGAACACTGGGTAGAAACAAAAGATCCAACCACAATTCTTTGGCTAGGTTGATAGGCATGAGGCTGCACAAAACCAGAGATGCCAGTGCTTGAACCTGCTGAAACGCTTTCCCAAAGCTAGACTATTTCTAATAGATACTCAACAAGCACCAAATTCACAACATTAAGTAATCAGACATCTGGACAAAAGCAGTGAAAAGAGTTGTTCTTCCAGCCCGATTCAAGAGACAGCAGTTCTACAGCCCTTAGACATCACCCCTTCCATTCCCACGGCATTCTGTACCCATTTAATGCACTGCTCAGTGTACTCACCATCTCCCAAGTGGTGCTACCCTCCGTTACACACCCCCTACACAACCATGCTCCAGGTTTTGACCAGAACAGGACTGCAGAACCTAGTCTAAAGCACTTCACACATCCTACAGCCAGACACGTGCTGCACACCTCACCAAAAATCTCCCTGAGCCCTGCGACCTTCAGCCACAGAGGAACATGTTTCTACAGGAAGGGTAAAATGAAAAAAAAGTTTAAGAAGAAACATTGAGTTAAAAGTTTTATTCATTCAACATCTCACATTACAAATATTTAAAAATTATATGCATACTGGTATAAATAGTCATTTGCAAACTATTTAATAACATTAATTTTTCACTAGCACTTCAACAAATGAACTCTTTAAAAAAAGTAACTTGTGTTATATAACTTAGAGTAGAACATACAAAAATATGAACTTAAACGTGAAAATGACTTTAATAAAAAATGAATTACCCTTATTTAAAATGCTATAATAAATACTACAACCTCCCCATACACAGTAAAAACTATATGGAAATTCAGCCAAGTAGTACAATTAACTGACATACTTAAATAACTTTTCCTTCTGATAATATGAGCAATACATTGGGGGGAAAACATATTAGGGATTAGTAAAAACTAGACACCCACTTGCTAAAAGTTTCACTTCCAAAAAATATAACAAAAAATCTGATGAAAATTATAAAAACTAATTATACTTTAAAATTTAAAAATATAAAAAATAAAACAGTTGAATACAATATTGTCCCAATTCTTACAATGCTATCACAGTAGCTTTAAAATAAGATAATAAAATAAAGCAAATGACCAAAACCTTTTATTCCATTTTTTTAAAAATAATCTCAAATTTACATTAGTAGAAAGATTGATTTCTGATTCTTTTCTTTAGAAACACCAGCAAGAAAGAGGATTTACTAGAACAGTAGAAAATGACATTTTTAAATGTCTGCAATTAAAAACAAAGAATTACACTGCAAAGATCTTCCAGAAGTCTGAAATAGGTATTGCACATAACTTGAAGTTAACTTGCCACAATTCATCACATTCAAGTTTTAAATTACCTTTTAACAGAAGGTTTTACTCTTCAAAAACAAAAGGGGTGAATTATCAAGTCTTTCCAACAGCATCCTTATAAAACACTAAAGTCATTCACTGCAAGTTTTAAATTTGCATTCTGCAGAGGTCTGTGTATGGAGAAGTAGATACTATACCAAAAAGCACGGGGCAGTGGGGTTCCTTTACATATAAAATAATCAGAAACACTTTATTTTACATTGCAAAAATAACCATGTAATTACTCTGTAACTACATTGTAAATACATGGCCAGTGCCATGCTAGTGTGATCAACCTACATGCTCATTAACCCCTTTGCGAATCGAAGTGATACCCTAAGACTGGTAGCCCAATTACATGTTAATTATGTTGGGAGCTACATAGTAACCCCAGCTACAAATCCCATGTAATCAGAAGGACATGTCATCACTATTTAAGTACAGAGTAATGTATATAATTGTTTATGCCCTGTAAATCGAAGTGTAACCAAATAATCTGTAAACACGCTTGTCACACAATCACAAGTGAGTATTAGTAGAATAACAATTTCTTACATTAGTCATGCATACTAACATTACATGCCTGCCACCTAGCAGGCTCTCTTTTATTCTTTAAATATAATTTAAAAGAGCAGACACATTTCTGCATCAAACACCTAACATCAATTTTTATTAATATTAAAAATGGCTAAACATTCACCAAAAACGTCTGCATTTGTGAATCATTTTTAAAAACTCAGTAAGAAGCTGTAGACAATTTTGATGTTTCTTTGCTTTTAAATTTCTACACTATATTTATGCATTTAAATTTCATGGGTCTAAAGACAGTGTCATTTGTCATTTTCATGCTTTTCTTCTTTAATTCTCAACTTTACATATACTATTTCTTAAATTATATGTACACCAAATACCTGGTGCTGGGCTAAGATGTTTAAGCAACATGCTTTCTTTTCTCTGCAGATTCTAAAATAGCATTGCCAGTGCACAACATCCATAATTCAAAATGTATGCAGAGCACTGAAATGTATAAAAAGCAGAATATAAGAAAATAAAATTTATTAAAATTATTTATATTAAAAAATGAAGTATATGAAGATCTCTCAGTAATAAAAGTACAAAAAGCTACTCTTTGCAATATGAAAAATTGAGGTATTGCATAAAGAGATATCCCGTCAGTGAAAAGTGTGCCTAAAAATGCTCACTGTTGGAAAAACAAGATATACAAAAGTAGTGCATAACAAATATACATTATGTGCATGACAAAATAAGTTAGCTACAAAAACACTGTACCGAAATTCAGCAGGTCATGTACAAAGGGAAAATTATTATTCAAAGCTAGTTCTCAAACAGTGTTATTTCTTGTAATGGTAACCCATCTCACCTGTTCACTGGGTAGATCGGCACAATAGCACACCCCAAGCCACCTACAAGCATTAAAAAAATTAAAAGAACATTCCAACTATAAGTATGTACTTCAGAGAAAAAAAAGTCCCTGACAATCTACACAAGAGCACTCTGCATTTGCATTACTGTTGTCAATATTTTCAGGGATTTCATTAAAAGCAGCTCCCTTTCTATACTTGACTAGTAGACAGCAAATGTCTCCATTTTGACCTTTGGAACTTGGTAAGGTATAATTCATTAAAGCCTGTATTGAAAATAAAAACTGCTTCTCATAAAGATAATCTGGGCTAGGGGAAGGGGACGAGGGGGGCCAAAAAAGGCTTTGAACAGAGGGGATGTTTTCCAAGCAGTGCTGAGGCAAGTCTTTGGTTTGAGAGAATCTAGGATGGTACCATGCCCCTCGGGCACTTCAGAAGATTGCCACTACATTTGTTTGTTTGAACACTGCTAAATAATCAGTTGAGAAGATGGCCAGGGCATTAGTTCAAAAGTAATAAAAATAATTTTCAGAACTACTCCTTCATTCAACTATTTCAAACTAAAGCCCTGCACCCACTCTGTCATTCAATTAACATGTACTGTGTTAATGCTTCTCAAGGTAGAACTTATTTATAATAAAGAAGGCATTAACTTAGCAATGTTGGCACTTCAAATACCTGTGTTTATTTCTCCATGTGAAGTTCTGAAGAGGTGGAATTTTACTTGGGATTCTTTCTACAGGAAGAGTTAGAAAGGCATATGCACACTTGCACCATTTCATGCACAAATTCCAAAAATAGTGCAAAACAAGACGTGGAAACTACTAAGGTTCATGCCTTCTGTTACAACTAAGTTAGAGGGCATTTAAAACTAACTTTACATCAGAGATGGGAAACGAATAAGCAGCCAATTTCAGTTTGTGTGACACAATGGAATATCAAAACTTCAGTACAAATCAGTGATATCCTTGAGGTATCTTTAGGTTTTCTACTTTTTCACGTCAAAATGGAGAGCAAAGGCTGGCCCCTGATGAATGTTAGTATATTAGGATATAGAGTTATATATAGCCATCAAAAATAAAATCTATATATTTATCCTTCAGGAGAGGAAATGCCAGTTAACTAGTTGTCATTACTCTAGCTTTGGTAGGATTTCTAGGGCTGTAACCAGACAATTGAGTTCTCTTAAAGAAAAAAAAGTGCACTCCCCCCCTCAGTAGTAACTTTACTCGACTTTTACATTCAGGAATTCTTAACATGTAATAATTTTGATGAAAATATAGTAAGCTGTGCCTATCTGATCAGTAATTTGGATGTGGGTGGTAGTCAGAGGCATGGTCAGATACATACTGAGCTAAATTTTCAGCCTCAAAACCCTTAACAGATTTTTTTTTAAAGGATCATTATTATAATGCTGCTTTAACTTTGCTCATGCATTTTTGTTGCTTTAAACATGCTCTTTCCTGTTGGTAGGTAAATGCTAACTTCATCTGTTGCTGGAAAAATCCAAAGTCAAAACAAAAAGAGAGGCAAAAACAGGCTTCCCTGGGGGAAAAGTGTCAGAACAGACTGATAGTGTTATTGTTACACGGTTATTTTAATAAAAGTATCCTTATGTTCTTTATTAACAATAATTTAATTAAAAAACCCAAAATACTCTATTGTTTCAATTCTCTTTCCTTAATATTTTTCTCTCCTCTAAGAAAATGTTGCATGAAATTAAGTGTTCTCTCTGTAGTAAAGACAAGAGAATGTAACTCACTTGCAACATGTTATCGATACGAAAAGGAGTTCCCAATACAGTTTTCAATGACAAGATTCTACAAAATACCCATATTATAGGTCATTCTTTCATTATACTATTGTTAAATTACAGACTACTACAAAAGGACATGCTATCTTGAATAAGAGAAAGGGTAGGGTGGGGTGGGGACAATCAGGATAACAGAAGAGTGCACTTAATTTGAGCCTGCATATGAGCACTGCAGTGATCATCTAGTTCCAGCGGAATGAAATATGTCTCGGGCGATCTCCTCCCTCCTTCACCAGGGGCTTGTGGAACTCCCTGCCAGCACGTGAATGGATAGCAGCCCAGCAATATTCACAGTAATACTGCAGACAGGTAACATTAGCACAGAAAAATGGAGCAAATTTTCCACCACAACGGGCCCCTTGACATTCATCACAAAGCTGATCATCCAAGACATATGGCTTAACTTCCACCTGTATTCAGAAAAGGAGAAGAAAGTTTACAGTTCTTAACAACAACGTCAATATGACAATCCCACACTATTTACTACTACCTGTGTTCTAGCAAGATTGAGATCAGTTCTGTCACAGAGAACACTACACTCAGGGATTTTTCCCCACATTGCACTTGATCATAGCCAGTAAACACCCAAAACTATAGGCACTTAATTTGAGAACAATCCTGCTCCCGCTGTCCTCCTCCATCCTTAAAAAAGACACAAAACCCAGCACTGCCCAACAGTATCACACAGCACTGATTTACAGAAAGGACCTATCAACCCATTGCTGCAGAACTGATGCACAAATTCACATCAAAACTGTGGAGAATTCTGGGGGTTTCTTTTTAAGTACAGTGATGCACAATTAAGCTCCAAACTTTTCAGGCAGGAATGGAAAATGTTCTCACAACACTAACTACTGATTAATATGCATAGTCTGCAAATGTCAACATCTGAATTTCCATCTTTAAAAATTTTCATTTATTATCTTCAGTAAAAGCACATTTCTGCTTTTCTGTTCCTGTGGCTTAGTCCTCTCAGTAAAAGGAAACACACCTAATATTTTTGGAATAAAATGAGAAGCTTAAAAGAGGACTGATGGCCACCTACGCTGCTGGCATAAAGGGTCAGATGATGAGCAGTAATTCTGCACAGCAGAGAGAAAGGAGAAAAATTTCTTCAAGTTCTTAACTGATAATGACTCATAGGAACATTGGAGCTGGTGCTCCAAGGATACATCTACACTGCAACTACTAGTTTTTAATCTAGGCTTTTGCATACCCAAACCAAAGCTGATGTATTGTGGGTTACAAACCCCTGCTCACAGCACTCCAGAGCACTTTGTGACAGCAGAGCAAAGCTTGCTGCTAGCAACATCCACGATGGCTACAGCACAGTTCATTTAAACATGCCTAAATGTTTAAATGACAACTGCAGCACTGCCATCTCCTGAAGGTTCAGATTCACCTCGAAACCGGTAATCATGTCCATTCCTTTGCTCCACAGAACTGTCAAAGTTCAATGTGATGTATCAGAAGCTCAACACAAAACTTCACATTAAAGAAGTACAGGTGCAAGTTCCTGTTCTAGCAATGCTTGAGAGCCTTCTGTGAAGCTCATTTAATTGGATATTTTCACAAACACTTCCAAATACCCAGACTGCGATTGGTGCCTCTACTGTTAACCTGCTATCTCTGCATCAAGCTTAGGGATGGTCCTTTCTGTATCTTACAAGCCTCAGAGGTATCACAGCTCATTCAAATAAGGACAGTCACAAGTTCCTGAGCTTTTAAACTTACCCAATTTTATTACAGTCCAGACAGGGCACTGAAGCAGTTTGATGTCATTTGTGCTTAGAGTACATATAAACTACTTGGAGACAGTAGAGAGGTTTGTTTTTTGTTAACCTCTGTTTTTCTCCTCTTCCACTGCTAGAGTTGTGTTTCTCAAACACCCCTCCATCCTCCATGCCAACTCAGAGGAATGAATTTGTAAGAGAGCAAAGGCAGACAAATACTCCTAACACCACATTCTACCTTCATCACTGAATTTGGTATGAAGTTTAAGGCTGGCAGTTTACTGAGGAGCACTTCTACAAGTGCTAGGAGGACAACCTACCAATAAGCTACACAGACCTCCTTAACATAGCAATTTCCCTGCTCTTTTTGATGTCTTCTCAGACATACTCAGAGGCCAGACTGCAGCACAGGTGACTATACCTCTGCTTGCTTTGGCAAGCACTGGTTTTTGTGCAAGTTTGCAACCAACAGACAGTAGTCAGAGTCCTCAGCCCATTTATTCAGTGTGTGTTGAAGTGCACATGGATGGCCTGGCCTGCAGTTGTTACTTGTGCTGGTGATATTGAGCTTTCCCAACTACAGAGAAACAGTTCAAGCCACAGGAACTTCATCAGGTGGGCTTAGGGTGGCAGCACTCATCAGAAGCTTTGCAGTGGTGGGTGCTGCAGGCCACAGCACCTCCTTGTCCAATTTGATAGGAAATCTCTTCTTGTTACTAATTTTATTACTTTTTTTTACAAAAAAAAATTTCATTAGGAAAAAACCCAATTAAACCTTATTAATAAAAGTAGTATTGCCACTGCTGCATTTCTGTAGCTCTCAAGCACCCAGCCCCTCTTATAATGAATCCTCTGAGCACTTATCTCCCCACAACTTCTTCTCAACTACACAAAAAATGGGGAAATACGAAGGAATGGGAGGGGAGAAGGAAGGGGAAATAGATTGCAAAATCTTTATGCTAGAGTTCACAAGTACTTACTTAAATTTGTAGTCCCACCAGCTTCAATGAACCTATTCACCCAAGTGTCTGCTTATGCAAGCAGAAGTTACACAAGGGCAGCCCAAATTATTTGTTCAAAGCTGTACAGAACTTATTTCAGAGCCAAGATTAGAACAAAGACACTCCATATCGCAGGCCCACAGTCAAACTGTTGTTCTTCTACCAAAGCTTTATTGCCAAAGCAGAAGTGAAATGATAAGCAGCTAATCAGTCAAGCTTGGGGGTTTTGCTCTGTAGTAATTATGAGATTAAGATCAATAATGACAGTCAGGTAAGAAAATTCTAGAGACAAAACATGAATTACACATAATAGTAGATGAAAGGATCCAGGTTTCTCGAAACTGTGACCTGAAGATCACTGTTACTGGCAAAGGCACATTTTATATAGATCAGAGGGCAGATGCCAGCAAACTGCAGACCCATTAATTTACAATAATAAAGGAATAAAATAACCAAACCTGGCCTTTATGTAAGGAAGACGACTGTGTGGCTGCAATGCACACTGACAAGTTTACAGTGATTACTATGATGCTCTTCAGGAACACCCAGCACACAGTGTGGTGCAGTAGGGCCCAATTCTGCTCACTCTCTCAAAAGATGCAGACCAGGGCCGAGAACTGCTCCATCCTCAGCAGATACCTTACTCCCTGGCATTATACAAACACTAAGTGCAAATACTTGCAGTGGGAGTATATGACAAGTGCAATATTCTTACAAAAGGGCAAGGCAGCTGACATGCTTCCAATTATGCTAAGCAATTTGAGAAATTCTGCTTCACAGTTGCCTCCCACGTTCCAGAAGCAACAGCTCTCTACCACTCTTTCATTTTTATTCTGTGTTGTATCTAAGTGGCACAACCTAGCCCTAAATATGCAATTAATCTGATACAACATTTACAGCCTTCACAATGACACACATTTACATGGAAAAGCATTTCTAGAGAAAGCATTGAACAAAAATAGAATACGCTTGAAGACCTTACCCGTTTATCTATCTCTCCATGCTGCAGCTGAACAAAGCGAGCACTGATAGCAGCAATGTAACTCTGTTGATTAGAAAATGCAACCCGCCCAGCTCCTTTTGGGTACTTCAGCTCAGGGTCTGTGTCAATTCCAGCATAGCACACCCCTCCGTACAGCCGATCCATTATCATAGCGAGTTCCACTAAATGAGAAAGGAAAGTGAAACAGGGGTGGAGACTTGCTGAGTTTTTCCAAAGGCAGCAAACCAAACAGTTCACTTGCATTCATGTCCCCCACTACAAGTGTCAGAAACACTTCATACTTCCCTTGCTGACATAACTGGTTTCCCCCGTTGCTCCCCAAACCAGACTGCATATTCAACATGCCCAGCGCTGCGGAACACGCAGTACCTGCTCGCAAAGGCCGAGGAACACCACCAACAAAAATGGTTTTTCGTGGGTCAAGAGGCTGTGAACCATCCATAACAAAATCACTATCACTAAGGTTCCAAGGCCGGATCTGAACCTATGGACAAAAAGCCTTTTTTTTTTAACCATTCACAATTCAAAGTATCTCAATAATATAAATTAAAGCAGTACCCTACAAAGAAGAAAACCTCTTAAATGTTTTATGTTCTAAACTCATTTGCTATTTGCTCAGCAACCACTTCTCAATATGAAAAAGCAGTAAGCTCTGCTACGACAGACCATTTGATCATACTGAATTTCACCACTTCCTAGTTACCCAAATTTCTGGGGAAAAAAAAAAAAAAAAACACAAAAAAAAGCCCTCACCCTCTACTTATATATTTACTTAATCATGACTGAAACCTGCTGTACAAACCCCACTGGTGCAGACCTATCTATGCTGTTGGTGTTGTTCTAGCCAAGCGTTATCTCAACACAACAGGCTCCAGAGCACAAAGTTATGTGTTTATTTACTATGCAAAAGTAGCTGCTTTGTATTTGCCAAGAGCTGGCCAAATGTGAAGTACAGGAATACAGCAGAAGTTTTTCCATCTATTAAGAGACTCGAACCAGCCCCAAAACCATTTGTATCAATACAGCTCAATGTCACATTACGTTTGGTTGGGTTTTTTTTCCTCTGTCAAAACATGTTACATGCAACACTTAAACAATATGAATTCTACATTTTATTCAACAATAAGTATAAAATACCTTTCTGGAAATATATTTACTACAGCAGCAATGGTGAAATTTAGCAAACCTTTTCCTAACAAAAATACTGATTGTAACTAGACTAAAAATGCCTACTTTAAATATAAGTAAGTTGGTCTTCTCTTTAAGAACTTGATTTGATATCTTAAAGAGGTTTAAACATTAACAGACTGAAGACAGAAAAAATAAGTCTGAAGAGAACAATTTCTGGTTATCATATAGGAATTGTGCAGGCCCTGACAATTCTACCTACCGGTTTGTCTTTGATAGTGGGGCTGGAAACACAAAGATAGAGCTTTCCATCTTCTTCAATACATGCATCAATCAGTGCCTGTACAGAGCTTTCATCTTGGAACAGCAAAAATGCATATCCTACAAGGGAAAACACACACACATCTTTTTTTGCCTAGGCAAGAATAATTTAACCCAGCATTATGCTTGGCATCATGTCATCATGCTACCACACAGTAAGTGACAAACTTTAGGATGCTCTCACTCATTTTCTAACCCAGCCTCCTGCAAGTCCTCTGCAGAGGCATGAAGGAAAGCAGTGAGCTTCATGAGCACACTCTCTCCTGATTTCCTTTGAAAAAAATTAACAAGTAGTTTGAACTGAACAAAAGTCACAGCTGCAAAGGCAAACATGCCAGGATGGTTGTTAACAGAAGGTACAAATCCCTCCTAGCTTCTGTGGAGGGCATTTAGTCCCTTTAAAGAGGACTAGTCTTTACTAAGTATTACTAAAATTAAAAACAATATGGAATAAAGTAAAAACAGGAAGCTAAGGAAGAATTCTTCTAGTGCAGAATAACTGCAAAGCCATCGTCTACATTCTTTCAGTTTATAACAATCCTAAGGATTCAACCTTTTTTTCCCCTTAAACATTGGGTCATTGTCACAGAAATGTTGTCTAAAATGGAATCTTATAAAAAGAAATTCTAAAATGCTCATCTGTTATTAGTTATCAGGTATTTACCCTTAGGAGGAAAGTAAGATTTGCTCTCTGCCTTGTGTGGCCAGTCTACAATCAAAGGTCCAAAGCGACGAAAACTAGCAGTGATCTCATCTGTGAAGAGAGAAGGGACAAGGCACAAATTGAAATTAAAGAACACCAACTTAATTCAGGTAGCTAGTAAGCAACTGGCTCTGCCAATATGCCTTATAATTGCACAAAGACTGGAAAAAACTAAGAGACTATCACAAGACCCAGCCATGCCTGTTCATATCACATGCCAGTGCCACATGTGCAAACACTCTGAGCTTGACCTCGAACTAACAGAGTAAACTTGCAGGACATAGTTCTATAATTTTACAGGAGAGATGGCAAGAACATATTACTATATCAAGAAGTAATTCTTGCATGCATTTCAATTCTGCCTTTGACTGCAAATTACTGGCATAAATTTGCATCTGCTAGTTCCACAGAAGTCCTCCAGCAGCATTCTGCTACTCTTGAAATTGAGTTATCATTCCCTTTTCCTTCTTGACAAACACGCTTGAATCATTGCCAGGTAAAGTTCTTTGGACAAGAAATTCTCATTAAAAAATTGAAACAAGAAGAACAAAATTCACATTGCTGGAGTGTCACAAAAGCTGGCACACTGCTCAGCTGCGTTCTGGTTATGGTACACCAGAGCTTTCAATACTAGCACACTGTTGGGAGTTCCTACGACAGGATTTTGAGGATATTCCATATCCTCAAATCTGGTTAGACATCTCAAAAGGTCTGAATTATGTCTGTTTCACTTTGTTTAGAGTCTTTGATGACATAGCTAATGAAATAGCAACTGACAATCCCCTGTGCTGACAGCTTCTCTGTGCACTACAGATCATCAGAAGGGATACAGTCATGGTGGTGTGCCAAGATGACATACTGATGAAGATACACACCAAGCAGAACAACATTTACTACATATCTATTCCTAAAATAGATCTCCGTTCAGAACAGCACTTCACACAACTGTAATGTTAAAGCACGTAACATAAAATGCTTTCTAGAAACAGGATCAGAAGAAGCTGAAATATTCAGCTGTGATGTAGATTTTACATTGTATATTCCTTATTCTAGTTCACACTTGCGCATTTAAATTGGAAGAGAGTTGACAGAAGCAACTCTGGAATATTCAAGCTACCCTCCTAGCGCAGGTTTAGGAAAGGTCCCATTCTTCAGTAAATAGGGTTGACAGAAACCAAACTATTAATGTGCTCATCTGCTTTTAAAACACCAAGGTGGCAAAGTTAAAAAAGCAAACAAAAGCCCAACACCACCAAAGAAAGAATAACTTCAAGATCATTCTTCCTCTTGTAAACCTCATGTTATATTTGATCTTATAATAATAAAGTAGCTCTTATGTTTGACATGAAAGTCCATTTGTCACATGATAGTAGTACCCCCTGCGGTGCAAACCCTTCAGCCTCCCTGACACAAAAAGCAGTTATTATGTGATTCTGTGATTTAAAAAAATCAGCAGCTTTTCAGATTTACAGTTGCTGTCGTTCCTTTAACAACTATCCCAGCACACTCATACAGAATTGCTGAACTCTGGTGAAAAGAAGCTTCACAACACTTTTGCATGACAACCTTTTTTTTTTTAGTAACAACTGCAGTATTCTGTCACCTTGTCTGTATGATGGACCCACAACAAATTCTTGGTTCCTTACTCTATGTAGCTGCCTCTGTACAGATTCATTCCTGTCTGAGTCCTCACTATGCACACATTAGAAGCTGCCATAGGTCATAATAATTGCTGGAAACAACCTCTGAGAACTACACATAGGCACCCAAATAAAGAGCTATGACTTAGGACTCCACAAACTTTAAAAACTACTAGCAATACTTTCCTACTATTGCCTTGTGGTGCCTAAAAAATGATGGTAGTGTATTAATGAGTTTCAATAGGTCATATTTACTTGCTTATTTTTCCATCTATCCCTTTTTTATAATTGTTCTGCTGTAAAAGTCAGTTAACTAAGTGGTAACACCATTTTGTTCTTCAACGGCAGAGCAATGCTATTGCCTAAACTAGTTTGAGTTACACCACGTTTGCCATGGACTGGAAGTGGTAACATGTAAAGATCCATTTACATACCAAAGTCTTTCTAAAGAGTTGGAAAACAATCATTCATTAGGTAACAGACAAAAGGTTTCACACCACAGTTCTGTCATTAAGCCAGAAGGAGCTTTTCTGGGTGAGATATTCTGGGCATACCTTCATCAATATCTGGTGGCAGTCCACCAACAAAGACTTTCCGGGAATACCGCTCCACTCTTTCTCCATTCTGATGGGAGAAGCAGTGAGGTGATCCTAAACCACTGTGAAGAGTCTGATCCCCACGTCCATCATCCAAGAACCCGTCTTCCATTGGAAACAGTGAAGACTGACCTGAAGAGGGGGTGAAAGAAAAAAAAGGAAAAAAACCATACTAACAGAACAAAGCACACACTGTTAAAATATCTGTTTTTAAAGGCACTAGTTGCTGCATTAGCAATAGAACTGTTTGCAATCTTCCCTTTTAATGAGCAGTTATGTTCTCAATTTCACATGACCCTTTCAGTGTTTAGTATCATTCAATAACTCAAGTGCATTATTTCAGAGAAGAGGTTGCTACCTTCTCCATAACTGCACTACAGCTATGAAAATCTGGAACAAAACTGTATTTCTAATGGATGCTCAAGTTGACCATTTTTCATAGTACTTCATGTTTCCAATTAGATTTCTTTTAAAGAGGTGTAAAAACAGAAGGGAATACAGGCCATTTTTTTTTCTGGGACTTTCCCAATAGCAGACATCACTTAAATCTAAGCCACATATATAATTTTCCAGTGAACAGTTTATTTCAATGAGCAGATACAATTTCCCAGTGCAGTTGGGACACCAAGAATTCTACCAGCTAAATATATGATATAATTTTTTATTTCAATTACCTGGTATCAAAACATATCATAAAACCACCCACTTGGAAATAATAAAAATATCTTGGTAAAAACAGGAAGACCCACTGTAACTCTGCACATGAAGAATGAAAACTAGGAAATACTGTGTAATTCCTAGTAGCAAGTTTACTTAGATATTACAACAGAGTTTCCTTAATGGACTCATTCTAAGAGAAAATGTTGTAAGCATGCTTCCCCTCACAGCCCACTATTCTTCTATGATTATCACAGATTTCCATAATAATATTTCTTACTTTTAGTAAGATGCTCGCATTTCTAAATGCAACTGTATATAATATCATAAATAGAGCACACAAGCTGATCTCTTCTGTGAATCCATCCTTTAGTTACAGTAGTCAATACCTAGACAAAAAACTAAATAGACTTCCACTCATTTAAGAAGCATTTTAAGAACAAATATATATAGAGAGAAAGTAAGCAAAAAAACCCAAGGTATGTTACAAGTTTTCTAATACATTTCTTTTTGCCTATGATGTGATTTGTTATGTCTGCTTTTTCAGAATTCATTACAATCTACCACAGTAAGGTATTGGTAAGGTTAATTTATCCTGCTCTTGCTTCCTTCCTTTGAAAAACATTTTTTTAAAAAATAAAACATCTTGAAAACAAAAAATTTGGCCAATTCCAATATCTGGACATTTTCCATGCAAAAATCAAGCAGCTAACAAGGTGTAAGGAAAAAAAAAAATACAGTAAAATCCACAGTCCACTGAATTTATACAAATAAAAAATGGAAGGCTTGGTCAGCTTGCTTTACTTGAAATTTCAAGTATCTTTGTACATCTTGAATTAAAATAAAAATAAACTATAATCAGGCCTATTTCTGTAGCTAGGCAAGCCTGGCTCCTACTATGATAAAAACACTGTAATACAGACTTAAATGTTATCTTGTTTTCTTCTGATGAACTGATGCGTATCTTGTTTGATCTCTTAAGACCCCAATCCTGCAGGTATCATTGGGAGGGAGCAGTTCTCCATATCTAAGCAACCTTTCCAGGTTCCTCAGCATCACCACTGCTGTTAGAAAATGCAACATCCAGGCTTGCAGGATCTGGTTCTTTAACCTAATAGGCCAGGATGTATATTCCCTACAGTCCATGCTGCATCATGAACACCATCACCACTCAGAAGAACCAAATTAAACTTGCTCAGCATTGGCATTCACAACATACACACAAACACACAACACAGCCCTCCAGTGTAACAAATCATACAGCTGATGCCCACCCTCAGGTTGTGATCATTTCAGCTTCAACAGTACTGCTGTGGAGTACTACCTAATTCAGTTAAAATGTTTATGGATGGCATGCAGACTACGTAAACTTAGGTGAAACTGATGCTTGTATTTTGGAGTTTGCCCTCTAGTAACAACTGAATGTTATTTCTGCCATGAGACAATGTCAACATTAGAAAATTAAATAGGAATACTGTTACCTCGCCTTCTCCCATATGTCCTTGCTGCATGTTAAATGAGAAAGAAAACAGCCTTTCAAACATTGTTATAAGGACCAAAAGACCTTGTTTTATTGCCTTTATACTAACTCAGTGGTTCTCAAGCCTTTTCATACTCCAGATCATTTAAAATAGTGTTCAGAAGCTGACGTCCCCCACCACCCACAGTACCATGCCCTCCTTGCACCATCTTTTTGATAGAACGTGTTGATACAAGGCTGAAAAAGTATGCATGCATACTCAAAAGGACTGTTTTGAAAACCATTTTAGTTCTTAATTTCCACATTTATTTTCTAATCTATTCCTTAGCCCTCTGCTGTGTGTATGCTTCCCAGTAAATGGCTCCTTCGTCATGCACCAGGTCTCCTGACACATTCTGCAACACACCACGCTCTCCTCTTTGCCGAGATCAAGCATACTCTAACACTGATCTTCAGCTGAGCTGCAGGAAGGTAGAGGGCTATTGTGTTAATTTGTTTGGAAATGAGGCTGCTATAAAAGATTTGCACAATCCACAAAATCCTTGGTTAAATTATTACTGGCAAATAACCAGCTGAAAAACTTAGTCAAGGAGAAAACATCTGGGCCACTAAAACTGCCTTTCAGACCTCCCGCAGTCTGTGTACAACAGCAGACATTCTCTTCTACTAACTTAGTACACTTTGCTGTAATTATTTGACAGCTACCCACAGCTTCCTACTTTTCATTTCCAAAACTAAAATCAATTCTATCACTAAAAAATTACAACATTTTTCTGCCCTGGCTCCCGGGACCCCTTGTCAGAATATGGACAAACTTTCTAATCAAACTTGCACATTCTTTCTCTCTTTTAATCTCATTAAAATCTGTGTCTGAAACCAGGCCAACTGTTTTCAAAACTTGGTTTCTCCTGGCACGTACTATGAGAAACTCAGAGCACATCATGCATTTTATTTTGCTTCCTCATTCAAAACTGAGGCTGACAATTAGTTTAAGCATTTAAATATTTGTAAACCACAACAGGAGTTTCCTCTTTCAAAATAAAAATCATATCAACTCAATTTACTTCATGATTATTTAACATCATTTTACTTCTCTGATCTTTTGCTGATAAAGATACTCACAATGAACACCAAGAACACAAAATAAGGAAGCCCTAGTCTTCATACTGGAGCGTTCTCTCGAGCATTCCCACAGGTACTGGCTTTATGGGAGAATCTTAAAGGCCGAGGGTCTTTACAAATACAATTTTTCCATGGTCATTTTGAATTCAGAAATCCAAGGTGCTCTTTTAGCCCTCAAAATAGAAAGTTTCAAGGAACTTGTCCTCCATGGAAAGCAATCAGCTATCTTACTGAATTTCTGACATGGCTCAGAAGCTCATTATAGAAAACATCAAGCACTTTCAAAAACAACTCTGTCTGTAAAGCCATAAAAATCTTGCTTGTGGTTTCTAAATTACTAACAAAACCACACGAACTCCTTCACTTAGTACACCCATTCTTGGCAGTGAAGCATGCAGCAGAGATACGATTCCCACCACGGATCTGTGACCACAATTTAGGTCAGCAGACTCCTCACTGCTTTGCCACCTGTGTCACTCAAGGCAAGAGGATTTTTCTCCTTTTTTCTCCTTTTCCAGTATGGAAAAAAACAAACAAACAAACAAACCTCAGCCACCAGATAGTTAGTATTTCCAGTGCCAAATACTGCTGAAGAGGTTTTGAGAATCAAATACTAAGATTTTTTTTCTTCTTACTTTGCTTATTTTCTGCATTTCCTTCATCTAACCCACAAAATACCAACATTTGACATTTCAAAACATTTCTCAGCAGCCACAATTTATAAACTATCCCAGGGCAGCACAGACACAAACTTTCTCTGCTCATTGAATTCAGAGCTCATCACATGCCATTAATTTCACACAATTGTAATACACAACACTGGAACTAAAGAATGCTGTTTTGGCAGGCCAGGAGGACAGCTAACCGTGATTTACCCATTCTGTCTCTGGCTTTCATAATTTCATATTAAGAGAAACCTTTGCTATGGGAGTACCTAGCTAAGCTGCAACATAACTGTAGCCTTAAGGTAACTGTCATCAAGCAGAGAAAAATATTTCATTCTGAAGATCAGGATGCTTGCCTCTCCCCTGCTGAGAAATGAGACAACTACAAGTTAGTTTGGATTCCTCAAATGTATTTTCCCTCTCCCCATTTTTTTCAGCATATCAGATAATTGCATAAGGAGCCTAGGACAGATTTACTAATCTCAAAATATATTTGAGCAAGAATTATGTAACAAAACCTGAAATATACAAAAAATATGCATCTGGTTCAACTGCTCATTAATAATCTGTGCAGAAGTATTTTTCTGATAAAATCAGCCTGAAATTTAAAATGCTATTAGCAGCTGCTTCAAGTACTTTGCCACCTCAGCTCTCCCTGCAACACTGCTTCCTATGTAAGAAATAAAACTGTACAGAAAACAACTGATCTTTTGCAAGTATCTGCTGCTTTCACTGACTTTCATTTTAAGGAACTTAACGAATAAGCAACCCACTCCATTTTTTGTGTCTTCCCTTCACTTGAGACACTTAATGGGCTCCTGGCCATCTCCCTCTCTTATTTTAAAAACAAAAACAAAAAAACACCACATATTTTGTGTCTAAAAAATCCCCCAGTTAAATGTGTTGAGCTTTCTTCTCCCTACAGGAAGCACTGTCAATATGTTGTGTACACAGCTCCTGATGACAAAGATGTTCTGCTGAGGAAGCATGAAATGTGTTTGCTCTAAAACCCCAAACTTACTACAAGCCTGACTTGCACAAAGTGTACCCAGGCTGAGCACCTAGTGCTCATTAATGGTTGTTTCTGCCTCCCAATCTGCAGGACAGTAGCAAGGTAGCCATTTCAGGAATATTTTATACCATTAACTGTGGAAGATTGACAGGAAGAGGTCAGCTCGAGAGCAGACTGTTTAAAGCAAAGGGACCAGCAAGCAAGAGGATCCATATCTCCCGTGAACATCATCCCAATTTTCCAAGGCCACTTTACAACTGGGAGAATTATACAAGCATCCACAGTTAATACAATCATAAAACCCTGGAATGGACAGAGCAAGTAAATGCTCAAAGTTAAATTAGCACTACCTCCTACAGTTGCTTTAAGGCATGCCAGGGCCAGGTTGATGAACCTGTCCAGTTCTGCACATCATTACCTCTTTAGTTTAAGAGCTCATCCAGGCAGGGATCCTGTTCTTTACCTTGGCACAGAGGCCAATATAATAACACCCTGCAATCTTTTACATTAGTTATTGATATGCTCTCATTTCTTCCCTCTCAAAGATCAAACCAGACTAGTTTCATTAGTGAGTACCAAGGAATTTCAGGTGTCCATGAATATCACTGAAGGGACCAGATAAATATTTTTGAAATTTAAAAGGGACAAATATTCAGGTTGACTTTTTAGATAATCTGACTGTGAGAACACACCCTTCCACCACTGAAACAGCTTCCCAATAACCTGCTCCAGGAAAGCTAGGAAGCTTATGTCAATTTACATACAACTCTTTTATATGTTACACGAATCATCCAGGCTCCAGGAAAAATATTCAAGCTGAACAAGATTTTGCTGAAGTGGTCCCAATTTTATAAGCTTTCATGAATTAAGTAATTATTTTAACTGCTGATTTTTAGGGACCAAAAGTGACAAAGATCCTGTGGTACAAACATGGGGAACACTACAAGAGTAACAAACAACAGCTCTTGCAGCTGGAAGAAGCACAGTGTAGAAGAGGAAACAAAGCCTCTGTACTATCATCAACTATTTGTTAAGTATTATAAAAATGGAGAAAAGTTCAGATTGTTTTAACCAAAAGGGAAAATAAGGTTTTCTCTAAGACCATCTTGAGAAACCTCTCCACATAATTTAAAATAACTCTTAACTGTAGTTGGATATTGATGGCCAGTTGCTTATGCTGGAAACCAAATATGATCAATACACAGAGAGTTTCAAATTTACACTGAAACTGTTTACTCTGCTAGTCATTTTTCCCCTAAACAGAAGATAGGGATCTGGTGCTGCAGTTAGGACTTAACTTTTAGAGAAACAGAAGTATCAAAGTTTCACAGGATGATTTCTAAATGTGAGCTAGGTATCGCTGAATCTATTACAGAAAACATTTATGCTTCCATGACTGTTGTTTTTGAATTATAGAAAACACTTCAAGTGCAATCCGGTTTTGCCATTCCAACAGCAAAGCCTTATTTCTAATTCATTCTACACTAAACTGTATTTTGTAATTGTAGCAAGATTGACAATGCTGTGCACAAAGCCATGAAAATATGAATTATAGCATTTTACTACTTTTTTTTCCCCCTGCTACTCCCTGAGGGTGGGCAGGGTTGATTATAATTCAAGAGTTAGATTCTATCATCTCTTCACATTTCACAATGCATTTCATACACCATGCAGGGACCACGTTTCTCCCATAGGTACCAGTACATTTCCCAGGCAGTTCTGCAAGGTCATCTCAAGCCCAGTTTCACTAGTGAAGAATCTAATTGTGTCCTTAACCAAATCAAAGCAGAAAAATTAAAATTAGGAAGAACATTTATATTTAATCTATCTTTAGATAAAGTATGTATATGTATGTAAATATGAAGGAGCAATTCAGAGAGCAAGGCAGGTACTGTCAGAGGTGTATGTCCTGTTGCAAATTAAAATATAAAAATTGTATCTACCTATATGTATTATAAACAAAGGTGCATTTAAAAGAGCCTTATAACCTAAGTCTTAGATGATATTTTCAAAAGGAAAGCATATAGTGTCATAAAGAGTTGCATGGCAGGCAAGAAAAGTACTGCTTTTGACATATTGTTTGACTTTAGTTCTAAAATATTAAGGACAAAAGGCCACAGTTCCAGGATTGTTAACTTAGGAGATGTGCATGTGTGCAAAGACTTTGCCCAGTTCAAGCACATAATCTCATTTCTGTGAAATCATGCTGAGCACACAGTACGTTGA